GGCAACATCCGTTGGTCCAACATCAGAATCTCTATGCCGGCGAAGCCCTTGCAGAAAAATAAGGTCGATGTACCTGCCTCGTGCGGCGGTCTTGACACCCTGTCATTCGGCTCGCAGAACACCGAATTTGTGAAGATTATCGATTGGGACAAGGGAACTGCGGCCAACAACGGAGTCACGTTCGATGCCACGAAGAATTGCGTCAATGATCTGTTCAAGAAGAACGGAGGCGTGTGGCTAATGGAAGTGAGCAACGATGGCAGCACCTTCCACGAGTGGTCTGTGTACAAGCAGATTCAGGAGCGAGATGACTTTGATGCACATGGCTACATCTACAACTGGAGGTCTGCAAACAACAAGATCAATCAGCAGTTCGAGTTGTACTCAGATGTCAACGATGCAATCTCCGGGAACTCCAAGTGGAGTAGCTGCAACTACGATGATGCGGCTGCTGGCTTTGCACGAGACTGTTGCTGTCGGTCATCAAGTCAGTCTTTCGAACCAAACAAGGGCGGCAGCGGTTGGGGCTTCTTCGCACCCTCGCGCTACCGCGGCAACATCCGTTGGTCCAACATCAGGATCTCTATGCCGACGAATGTACTGCCATGAGGTCGCCCAGCGCAAGCGTGGAACAAAGGTGTCTCTGCTCATGCTCTGGGCTCTTGTGCCCTTCCTTCCCGGCTGTCGTCTGGGGTAGGTTTCATGTTTGTGAGGCGTGAGAGATCGAGCCGACGGTCGTCAGGAGCTCGGATTCCAGCCGAAGCTTCGATCTTTTCGTGCGGCCCATCCTGGGCGTTCCGGCAGCTTGGAGATCGCGGTAGGCTGGCCCAGACCGTGCAGAGCCACAAGGAGCCAGGAGTGCGTCGAGGCCGTCAAGAAGCCTCCGCTCAGCAGGCCTGCGGAAGTTAAGAAGCTTCCAATGCGTCAAGCCGATCAGCTTGAGAAAGAACACATGGCATGCACCAATCTCTTGCCGCTGCCTACAAGCACCCCCTCTCTGCTTGATGCCACGCGGGTCGCGAGGTCGAGGAGATCGCGAGCTTCGAGTAGCTCCGGCTGGTAGTCTTCCGAGCGCGGAGGATCCTTCTGAAAAAGAGAGTCTCTTTTTGGCCCTGTGGGCAATGCAGGGCATCTGAGCCTCCTGATGTGTGCTTGTAAAGCACGAGAGCGTTTAAGTCGCAGCCCGGCACTGTGAAATTCGATGTCGTTGTCGTGAGGCCAAGAAGAAGATCGTTGATGAGCCGGTCGCACCAAAGGCCAGACATGGGAATGCAGAAGACAGTTACTATCGTTTGCTATCTTGCTGCATGACAAGTTCGCTACATCAAGCAATTGGCGCAGTATCATATGATCGCAGTTGATAGTGTTGTATAGTTCTGCACAGTTTGTGCAGTTGGATGCAGTGTGGTACGATACCATACGATGCGACAGGATATTGCACGCGCTTATGCAGTATGTTCTAGATTCCAGCAGCTGCTGTGGCACTATTCGCAAGAGCCTCCCAAGCCTCCCGGCGGCCGAAGCCAAGAACCCGAAGCTGCTACAGCCCGAGCACCCTCCCAAGCCGCCCACGTGGCGATAACCCACAAAAAGATAATCCCAGCACCACCTCTACAGTCTCCCCTAAACCCGCAAACCCCTACGCCCTAAGCCCCGACCACCCCGCAAAGGCCCCAAAAAGGAGGTCTCCGCAAGACTTCGAAAATCCGAGAGCCTCCTGGCTCCTGCCGAGGCCGAGTCCCTGGAGCCCAAGGAGTCCGAGGCTCCGAGGACCCAGGTTGGGGCCTCTTCCGTTTCTGGGGGGTTTAGGGTTTAGGGTTTTAGGGTTTAGGGTTTAGGGTTTAGGGTTTAGGGTTTAGGGTTTAGGGGGGGATGGGGAACCCGTGTTTTTGAGTCTATGGGGTTCAGGAGTTGAGGACAGAAGGGAGATCTAGAGATTTACATTGGGGGTCTCCGCACTTGCTGTCCTGTGATGTGTGGCACTGGGGATCTAGAGACTTACGGCCGTAGGGCCGGAGGGGCTCTGCACGATTCCGCACGTGTTTTTGCGAGCTGTCAGCCCAAGGTTTTCGAAGCCCCTGGTGAGGGCGAGGCCCTTGCTTGCGGGGCTCGGGGCTCGCAAGGTTCCGTTGAGCTTGGGCGAAGTCTGAAGTTTCCACGGTTTCGGTGTTCGGCTTTGCCGGTTCAATTTTTGGAACTGGCCGGAGGTGGATGGCTGTCTGCCGGGCGTGCCCGAGGCGCCCGGGAATGCGCAGAGAAGGGCTTCCGGGCATTCTGGGCTTCTTCTGGCTCTTTCTTGAGCTGAAAACGGTCCCCGTCCTAGGTCCTACTGTAAGCTCTCAAACCCGGTCTCCGGTCCAAGGTTTACGACGCATCGGGATTGCCGGACCTGAACTTGGAGAGCAGCAGCCTCGGCTTCCAGAAGCTGTGCTTTTGATAGCGGCGTAGGGGGGCCATGCAGCAGAGAGGGACCAAGTCCCCACCTCCGCTTTCTGGTCTGACACCACAGGTCTTGCTGCTGGGCCTCCGGGCTTGGGGTTTCCGGGGCCTTCCGAAACAAACTTCCGGTCAGGTGGCGACGGGCACCTCTCCATTTTCGAGCTGCTAGGCCGAGGACAACTCGTGTCCCGTGCTTCGGAGACTTGCGGAGATTGAGCATGAGGCTCAGGGCTTGAGTCACAGCTCTTCTTGCTCTTCTCGGTCGTACTTGGACTGCCGGAATTTGTTGTGCAATGCAGGAGTCAGCGGATGCAGAGTCCACCGATGTCAGTCCACGCAGATCCCCGTACCTTGGCCCTAGAGAAAAGGCTCCGGATCGGGTCGAAGGAAGGTGTAGGATTCTGCTACAGTTTCTGAGTTCAAGCAGCGAAGACACTGCGAAGACTTACATGATCTGCTCCATGTGCTGTACCTACTGTACCCTCTGTACCCATGGCCCTTGGTGCAGTTGTTGTCCCAGGTGCCTTCCTTGGCGGGCAAGGCGGGGAGCAGGATGGTATGCACATTGAGGGGGCAAGTCAAAGTCTTGCACACGCTAGCGCCCTCTGTCATGTCTTCGTGTAGAGCCCGAACTCCCTGAGCCCTGGACTTGGGCGCAGGGCATTGCATGACCACAGAAGTGGTTCGAGAGGTGCTACCGTTGGGAAAGGCGACTTTCCCCGACATGGTGGAGGACCGAGGGTGAGACCCAAATCCAGAGCACGCGTTTGCCGGATGTGAATTCTGCGGTACGCAAATCCTATGCTCGTTTTTGTTGTCTATGCCTTTGTCGCTTGACGTAACTTGCTTGGATGGTGAGATGACGTCTTCAGGCAGGTAAGCATCAGTACGTCGTTGAAGGATGCCAGGTGCAGAAATGCAGACGGTCCGCCGTGGGAAGAACAGTTTCGATCTTCCAGGACCACGTGCAGAAGAAACTGGTTGAGGACATGAAGTAAGGGCAACTAGACAATGCCGAGGTCGGCCAAACTCGGACAGATATGTGCGCTTCGGCAGGAGAGGAACATCGTAGAGAAAACCAAGATAGTCAATCATCAGCAAGATACGATCAAGGAATTCTTATGATGCAGCAGGAACAAGAAAGCAATCAAGCAAGCTTCTTCCATCCGGACAACAAAACAAGAAAACAAAGATGGAATCCTTGCCGAGCAATGCTTCTAAATCGAGTTGCAGAAACGTCCAGCAGATAATGAGCAGGTCGCAGCGAAACGGCAGAAAACAACCATGCTAACGCTATGCTCCTGGGTCTGCTTCTTTCTGTTGAGATTCTTTGCAGTGCCGGAGAGGGTCGTGAAGTTTTCAATGCCGTTGTGACCAACGTCGACAGGATTCTGAGCGACATTACGGGCCCTGAACGACAGACTGGGTGGCCTCTGGCATAAGGTTTGCCACACATCAGGATGTCGAGTGCATGACAGAGCTGATGAACATCGTCCACACAAACTCTGGGTTGCCAAGGGCTTCTCGTTCCTGCACATGGATAAGGTAGCGAATCTATCACGATGGGCCAGCCCAAAGAGCTGAACAACGCATCCACGCATGCATCAAACACTGGCGGCCTCGCGTGATTTTGGAGGACAGCAAGCTTTACAAATCCGATGCAAAAGAGCATTTTGTGGCCTTTTTCGAAGAAACGTGGTCAGATAGTTTCGGTAGCATGATGGATAATCTTGAGGTGGCATCTGAAGCTGCTGGCGCCTCGGTGCAACGGTGCAAAAAATGCAAGAAGCCAGCTTCGGCTTAGTCTGCGGGCGGCACTTGGCACTTGGGGTGCCTGCAAGCCGCTCGCTTACAGAAAGACGATAGCTCCTAGCAGGCTCCGCATGGATCTATGCCGGAATGATGCAGCAGAGACAGCAGGGGCTCTGCATTGGCGTGGATCTGTGCACCTCTGGAGTGACGACCTGAAAAGGCCACGATGCAAGTCAAAGGTCATTAGGAAAAGGAAGGGCCCCTTGACACCAGAGGCCCTGCACAACCACACCAGGAGGGGCGCTACATGCTTCTCCCTTGGCGGCACGAAGGGCAGGCCAACACACAGAAACGTTGTCCATGACACAAGGGCAGCACCTCACTCAAGACATTGAGCGCTGTAATGTTCTCACGCTGCGTGCAAATCTTCGCAGCCCTATCGGCTGTGTCATCAACATGACAAGTTGCAAGAGCGAGCTGGGCTCTCGTTTTGCCGTTACTATTGTTTCATCTGGGTAAACAAGCCATCCGATGCAGCTACGCAGAAGAGATACACTAGTTTAAGTATTAAACCAAACCATCCGATGCGTGGATGTGTTGCGGATCTTTGGGCTTGATGAGGGGGAGCCTTCCCCCGGGCTTTGGCTTTGGGTTGCGTGTCTTGTGTTGAAGCCTTCGTGAGGACTTCGGCAAGGAAATGGAGATGATGAAGTCACTGCCGGCGCGGCTTGGCTGTTTGGCGTAGAGTCTAGTGAAGCCAAGGCTCCGAACAGCCCTACTCGTACGTGCAGCTCAAACGGATCAGTAGAGAGCCTCGCAGGTCTTCATCCCTTCGTCTAGTTCCGGATTTTGTGTGATTTTGTTGTGTCTGAAGAGCCTCGCAGCCTTCTTGCATTGGAGCACATAGCCTGCTGTTTCTCGACGTTCAACGGCCATACTTAGAGTCTCCCTAAACTCCGAACACCTGAGGCATGATTCGATTGTGGCCTTTCATGGTGCCTGGAGCACCGAGTGCTATATGGACAGCGGTGTCCAGCACAAGGTCCGGGTTTAGGGCTGTCCGAGGTCGCAGCCAGCCTTTCAGCCGCATGGACAGCATAGTTTTGATCCTTGATGGCGGCTGGGAGGCGTATGTGATGCTCCTAGAGCTATGCAGCTCATCGCTGGAGTCAGTGATACGGTCCCGTCGTGAGCAGCCGGAAGCTCAGAAAAGACTACATAGAAGGGGTGAAGAGCGGCCCACCAACAAGCTCGACTTCTTCCAATGCTTGTGGATCCCGAGGCAACAGCCCTTTCTGGCAGCCGAGCTCCTGCATGTGCTGAGCCAGGTGCGCGGAAGCCTGGTCGAACCACAGGGCTTAAGTGCCGGGCGAGAGTTGCAACGGAATTAGGCGAGAAACCGAGCCCTCCCAACCTGTGTTCCATAATGATTCAGCTGCCCCCCCATGGAACCTCAGAGAAGCATCTTTTACTCTTTCTGGAGATTCTCGCTCTTCAGAACCTGACCCCGGGCAGGTGGCAGCCGGGCTGGCGCACCTCCACCGTCACCGGGTGTTGCATCGGGATTTGAAGCTTCTCCAAGCATGCCAGTAACTTTAGAGACTAGGGCTCGCTTTTTAATGGCAGTACCTTACGCAGATGTGGGAGTTTCAGAAAATAAGGGGTACCTTATTTTGGGGTCCTTATAGTAAGGATCCTACTATTTGGGGTACTATATTAGGGTCCCCTATTTTCGGAAACCCCCATGTGTCCCATTGAATCCCAGAGCTGAGGAAGTCCGGCAACATCTGGCTGTCGCTCGGGCGCACTGGCTCCAGTAGCTACAGCAAGACTGAGAAAAGCGTCGAGTTTGAGTAAAACTTTTGGCTTCTCAGCAAGGCACAGCCAAGCGCGGTCTGAAGGAACAGCTTGCAGCACGAAGCGATGCTGCATGTGTCAAAGATGAGAGTTTTCCTGCATCCAACCCAAGCCAAAGCGCCAGAAACCTGGACCGTGCTAAGTCTTTCCTGTTCACGTGCATCTTGTCCTTCTAGTATTTTCTACCACAGTCTGTTGGTACAGTATCACTATAGTATCACTATAAACAAAGAACAAGAACTATCCTATTGCCTCCTGTCTTATCTGGTCTTATCTCGGTAAATACATACATACATACATACATACATGCATGCATGCATGCATGCATGCATGCATGCATGCATGCATGCATACATACATCATACAGACATACATGCATTGTAGTGACAGACATGGACAGGGATGCGTGCATCCATGTTTTCCTACCGCAGAATGCCCCAAGCAGAGGTGTTGCCCAGAAGACGCTGGAGCAAAGGCCTGCGCAGTTCCGGTGCGCTTTCAGGCTTGTCTAGATCGGTGTTTTGGGGATTTTGACTCCCATCCTCCACCTCCAATTGGCGGGGGGACTCTGCAGGGGCTAGATTTGACCTCCGTGGCGGCGAAGATTGGCGATTTCGATGCCGCAAAGGCTCCGGTTTCGCGCGTGGGGGAAACGTGCTACTGTATTGCATTTGCGTTTGCACTAGCAGCACTAGCATGTGTATTGTATGTTGCAGCTTCTGTCTGCCCGTTGGGACCCTCATAGAGCAGCAGTACAAGGCCGACTTGTAGAAGGGCTTTGCCACAGCCAAGACGGCGAAGTAGTTTGTTACCGCGAGACTCCCAAGCCCAAGCCTTCTGCTTCAAGCTCCAAGTACCAAGAGTCGGCATGTCGGCACTCAGAAAGAGGGCATTCCGGTTTTTTGTTTTGGTGACGGTGCTGATGGGGAGATTGTTAGGGTCGAGGTTGGTTCTCCCCTTCGTCTTCGTAGTTGTGGCCGTAGTGTCGCTGCTAGCTGCCGGTTGTTGACATTGAACTTGCAGGATCGCGGGTTGATGGTTAACGCCAACGCTTCTCCTTCGTGGTCGTAGTTAGGCGTAGCTGAGCTGCCTTTGGTGTTAGAAGAATATACGGTGTCTTGCTCTCATTGCAGCTTTGAGTTGAACCGGACCCACCACTAAGTATCGCTTTCCGTGTGGAGAGGCCTCCAGCCGGGCCCAGACACCAGTGTGGCACTCGGACCTCATTTGGGCATCAGGCCATCGCTTGTCGTCTGAGGTGCAGACGCCGCATTTCATGGCGCCAGAGGTGGCAGCGCAGACAGGCCGGGCCCCTCGAAGGTTCCTTGTTGCGTCGTGCTTCTGGACAGAAGGTGAGGACTACGGCCCAGCTGCTGATATTTGGGCGCTCGGCTGCGTGGTCTTCGAGATGCTGGAGTTGGGCCTGCCGTATGGTGAGGTTCGCTGCAGATTCACTGGCGTATGCTCCACCGGCGCCAGTAGCCTTCTAGCGCCGCTGCGCAGGACCTGACCTTGCCACAGCTGGAAGCAGTCTTGGCCTCGGTGATGTTCCCACGGGCAGCGAGGAGTCAAGAGGCGTAGCTTTGGAAAGGCATCTTTTCTTTCTTTTCTCGGGTGCCGAGGCCTTGATCGCAGGGGAGGGGCCTGCGTTGTCGCACCGAGCTGCAGCAGAGTCCCGCGCGAAGCGCGTGGCGGGATCCCCAGAGCTCGGACGGAGCGCGGCTTTCCTCTGCGGCGCTCGCAAGGTGGAGATCATGGACCGGTGCCTGAAGAAGGCCTGAGAGGCAGAAGGACCTGCCGCATGAAAAGTGTGAAGTCGGAGGAGCCGTCTGCGAGGCCGACAGCCGAAGAGGCCTGCAAAGTTGGCGCTCATGCTGTTGAGGAAGGGTTATAATAACGGTTATAACGGTTATACTTCTGTTCGCTCTGAGAGGTCATGAGCTGGCTGGAAGCAGGGCCTGGGGGCCGCGATGCCATGACACCAGAGGCCGCATGAGGCCATCACTTAAGATCATAAGATCCCCAAAGGGGTTCGTTCCTAGCAACTCGTGCTTTAAGGCACCGGCAGTTAATGCCAGGCCAAAGAGGCCGGAGAGGGCAGGAGCCATCCTCGACAGAGTCGAGGGATGGCAGAATTCCCATGCTTCTGTTCTGGGCTGCCAAGCAGCCCAGCAAGGCAAGCAAGGCAAGTCTGAGATTCGGGGAGCTTACACAGAGGGACCGGGAGACTTAGAGTCTGAGAGCTCCGGGATGCGAAGAAAAAGGCTTGATGGGGAGGACCTCATCCAGGCATCTCCGTGGCTTTGGCAGGAGGAGGATGCCCTGGTCGGCAAGAAGAAGTACCGAATCACTCAGATGTACAGGCACCTATCAGATGCTGTGGGGAGCGGGAGCTCCACTGAGTCTTTGACGTTTTGTGACTCTTGTCAGTGCGACGATGCCGCCCGCCATCGAGCGAATGGCACGCAGTTTTCTGCGGCACTGAGCTGAGGAGCAAGCCGAGAGGAGTCTTTGCTAGGGTTTTGGACGCTTCAGGTGTCCGGCCATCATCAATGTCGGTGATCCCGGGCAAGCGAAAAAGGCCCGGCGCCCGGCGGTCGCTGGAAGCTCCTCCTCAAGCTTCATCAAAGGATATCGAGCAGCAGCTGGAATTCATCAGCGAGGCCTTCTTTTGCTCTTCTGTGCATCTGCTCTCGAACCTGTTGGAAGAATCACTTGTGTTCAAGGCCAAGAAGAAGAAGCGTCTGGAGGAGATGCTTGTCGGCGCTGAACCGCCAATCATCGCAGGGCGACCCGGTGTTGGAGTGGGTGCAAGCGCGCCAATCGCCGACTCCTAAGCATCCCAGCTGGCTTGCCAGGTCTTTGTAAACCAGAAGAAGGCCGTGGATGTCTTGTCCAAGCCGGAAGCTCAAGTCGATGGGGGTGGGCAGATCTGCGCAGATCATAGTGCGATGTACTTAGGTCTTTGGACAATAACGGCTACAGAGTTTGCTCCATCCATGGAGGTAAGAGCCAGGAGCCACACCCATCATGTCAACCTGGGAACGATGTTGCCCGGTCTCTAGCTCTAACCAGTGGCTCGGTGGCTGCAGGAGCAACGAGAGTGGGCCATGAACTCCTTCAAGGAGGGCAGGTGCGTCGCGTCGCGGGTTCATTCATGGACAATAGGGAGCTGGACAGTCGCTCGCCAGCAGCGCTAGGTACGACATTTTGGTGGCCACCGATGTGGCTGGGCGCGGCCTGGACATCGAGGGTGTGCAGAGAGTGATCAACTTCGACATGCCGAAGACGATCGAGGCAGGGGGAAGTCGTTGGTGGATCGTCAGCTTCGCAGCCTTTCCTGCCGACAGGACTACACGCACCGAATCGGTCGAACTGGCCGAGCAGGTCTGAAAGGCAGGCGGTCCCAGCCAATGCAGCTGTAAACATCCCAATCCGAATCGACACGGACTGAGGATTGGCGATTTCATTCGTCACCCCGGAGGCTACTCGGCTGTCGCCGGGATGTCGGCTCTTATGCCTCTTGCGCTGCAGGACTCCGAAATCTTCTATGACCTCACGAATTTCTTGAAGAGCTCAAATCAAGTTGTGGGGCTGGCATGATGTGGCATGCGTCAGAAGAATGGCCAGTCAAGATTTTTAGAGAAGAGACGCACATCTGGGCGCCAGGTACCGCCAGAGTTGGCCTCACACCCCGCCTCAAAGTTGCTGGGCTCAACTACTTTCTCCTAGTTGGCAGCCGTACTCAATGGTTGCAGCCACCGACAGCAGAAGCAAGCTGGAAAGGAAGCCGTCAGTTCCTTTCTCCTTGAGGTTCAAGCCGGGCACGGTCAACGAGCACGGGCAGGTGCAGTGGCACTTCCCGTAGAACTCGGCTTTAGCACGCAGAAAATCATTGGGGAGGTCATGGGCCGGAAGCTGGTTGACCAAGTCGTCTTCGCGAAGAAGTGATGCTTCGGAAAGGCAGAGCCCCCCAGGCAGACACACCCAAGAGAGCTCATTTCTAGCTATCCGCCGGCTTCAAAGGCCCCTGGAGCTCTGCCCAAGCTGTCGCTGTCGCATGCAGGCAAGGCGAACGGCAGACGCCCTCCCCCAAGGGATGTCCCAATCCGGCCTGTCTCACGCTGTGAGCGCTTGTAACAAAAACTGGCTTGCTGCGTGGGGTCCTCTCTTGTAGATGCGCTGAACTCGGAACAGGCTGTGTGCATTCAGAGCACGATCTCGAACGTAGCATTCCGTAGCATTCAGATAAGCATCCTCGGACAATTAGGTAGATTGAGAGATGAAGGCAGTCTGACCCCACCAAAGCACCAAAGCAAGGCTCCTTCCTGTTGAGCAGGCGCATATTAAATTAGGCCTTTTTCCAACATTAATAATCTCAGTTCTTTGCTTTTATTGCGTGACATGAACCGTGCTTCCCTACCGCCACCTACCAACCGTTCTCTCTGCTCACTACCTACATTAAAAGGAAGGGAACCAAGAACCCAAGGAATAAAAGATGTACCGTGCTGTTAATTCCTGGACACAACACCCAACCTCATTCAAGATAGTAAGAAACAGCTCTCTACCTTGGAATCATCTCATTATCTGGGGTCTTTCAATGTTCATCTAGGTCATAGTGGTGTTTACTTCTTGGTCTAACTGTCCAGGTCATCTGTGTCATCAGGGATTAGTTCATCCAGTTAATTGCTTGACTCCCGATCACCTGGATTTCTGGGTTATTGAGTTGACTCCTGTTGGCTGTAGGATATGACCTAACCTTTCATGTAACCCCTAGAAGCTGTGTCCAACGGTGAAGGCTCCTGTCCCTAATGACTCGATTCCTGAAGCACCAGCTCACCTATCACGACAGCCCTAAAGTCAACACCGATCCTAATGACACAACACGGTCCTGATGTTGATGGTGTTCTTCATGATCGGTGGTGAGACAAGGGTTCGGTGGTAGTAGTGAAGCATGAAAAGAGCAAAACGAATTAAACCACGAACGGGTGTTGTGTTTCTGTGCTCTTCATT